AATGAGGATTGATTATTTTATCATGTGATGGCAAAAACAATTAGCCAAACCCTACATCATAATGAACTTAAAGGTCCTTGTAATTCAAATTTAAGCCATCAAGATAATGGCAAAAACTAAATAAATTATTTCCTCACATGAGTAATATTTGAATGAGTCACATGGAGGAGTTGGACTCCTCATGAGCTTCAGAGCTTTGCACAAAAGTCTCTGTGCATGTGGCAGTTTGGAGTCAGCAGGTGATGCAGCTCTGTCAACTGGTGGGAGGGAAACTTCTGATTCAGAAAATTACGTCAATAGTGACTCATTAAGCAGTTTCACAGGGCAAATCATGGTAATGACACAAACAATATGCAGGTTAGGCTGATGCTTAATGTCCACTAAACACTTCCCCCAGAATTCAACACGATGACACTTGTTTGGATTTTAAAATGTGATGTTTCTGTAAAAACAGGAGAATGTCTGTTTGTATTTAGAAGCAGAAATTAAATTAGCTTCTTTTAACAAATCCAATGCTGCACTTGTTTTCACTGATTTGTTTATTTATCTTTGTGCAAGTGTGTCGATCTGTGAAATTGTGTACTTTTGTGTTCAATGATAAAAGCCTGTAGACACTTGACCCCCCATGGCACATTGTTGTCCACTCCTGCTTTATTACCATCATGAAGTGAAATATTTTGCTTTTTTTTTCTTAAGTTTCTTTTTAAATCTGTTGATGTCTCTTAAATAACCTTTATCCTCCAGCATATCCTCCATCGTTGGTGGAAGATTGTGAAACTTCTTTATTCTTTTTTTGTAGATAGAATCAACAGAATAAGAGAATCTATCATGCTCCACAGCCTCACCAGCCCCCATACTGAGTCATCACACATCTGTCTCGTCCTACTTGATCAATTCTCTCCTGTCTCCCCCGGTGATTTGATTGATACTGTTTCCCACACTCGTTCTTCCATGTGTCTCCTTGACATTGTGCCTCCCAAATTACTTAAAGAAGCCATTAGCATTATTGGACCATCTCTGCTTGCAATTATCAACCCATCGTCCTCACCAGCCTCCTGAATCCTTTAAATGGTTTAACTCCTTCAAAAGAAACTGCACCTTTATCCTAGACAACTATGCTAAACTGCAAAACTATCTCAACATTACCTTTTACATACAAGATTTGAGAAAAATCTGCCAGCAGCTTTAATCAATCAATCATTTATATTTTATTTGTACAGCCCATATTCACAAATCAGAGATGGTCTCATGGGGCTAAACAAGGTGAGACATCTTTGCACTTAACTCTCAACAACTTATGTAAATGATTGAAGAAAATAATCTGGGCTATATAATGAATATCAATTGGGCTCATGGCAGAAACACAGCCCTAAGGCAGCTCTCCTCAGGATCTCAATTTACATTATCAGGTAGTAACACCAGGGTTAAATTACCACGATAGTGCTTTTAGATTTGTGATATTTGACACTTGATCACACTTTTCCAATTGATTAGCTATAACAATTAGTTGGGAAACCTGAGGTAGTTTGAATATAATTTAAATGATTGCAAATTTTTTTTGCCCCAGCTGATTAAAAGGCATCCCCCCGTGCTCCTTTGACTTGTGGGGTTCCCCAGGGGTCAGTTGTTGGACCTATTTAATTTCATTATATATGCTCTTAGCACACTTGATCCAATAATTGGGTTGTGTTTTATGATTTCTACACTGATGATACACACTCACATGATTTTCAGTTTAATTTAAAGTTAAACAAACGATCTGTTTTCATACAAGACCGGACCTTTACTAACATCCATCAACACTTCAGCTCTTTCTTTGCTCATAGAAAAAACTTTTTTCCTAAATCTTAGGTGTTATTTTTGACCACCAGCTGAAATCTGATTCAAAAACACCCAGTCATTCCTTCCTGCTATTCTCACCTAATAAATATTTCAAAAGGAAATTACAGCCTTTTTAAAACCTTATCTAAGTTTTCATAAACTACTGCAGAGCTCTAAATTCTTGCCTGAGCCAACAGCTGTTATCTGTTTGTTGCTCCAGATGTATCAGTAAACTGCTAATGCCTTCTACCTATGCTACGTCCCTGAGGTCCTCTGAGTGAGATCATGTAGATGTACAGCACTAAAGACTGAAAACACAAGGGGACTGCTCATTGGTCTGTGGGACAGTCTCCCTGTGGGAGTCAGCAAACTCACTTGGGTTTATAAAGAGATGTTGTGCTCTAGTATTCTGGAAGCTATGTTGCTGTGTAATATGTTTTGATTTAACTATGCTATGTCTCCTGTTGTAATTTTCCTTTTTACTTATCTTCTGGTTTTGTAAAGCTCATTGTAACCATAGACTGTATAATACAGTTGTATGTAGTTTGTTATTGTCTATTTTTGTTAAAATGGACTGATTTGACACATTATATATAAATATATACAAATGTAAACTACCATTTTCAATTTTGATGGGCAGGTGTGTGCATGTCATTGTGCATAAGTCAAACTCACCAGAAATGAGTTCACCCTGGAAACACTTGAATACCGAAGGGCGCCAAAGACAAAATTCTGACAATGAGTGAATGTGTGTTAGTAAATAAAAGTTGTGAAATCACTTGCATGCTGATAAAAACACATTACATCAGTTTCCTTTAAAACCTCTCTAGCTGCCTACATAGTGCTTCTTTCTCACAGACAGAGATGGAAAGTAAATGACAGTACTTTTACTCAAGTACAATTTTCAGATACTTCTACTGTACCTGGGTATTTCCATCTTACTCATTATTTTAATACGTCCACCTCATTTATTTTTAACAGCATCTTTTATAGCATGCACTTTCATATTAATTTGATTCTCTTAAGATTTGTGCTTTTGTTAACTTTGTAGATAAAGTTGTTGTTGAGATGTTTACAGTCGACAGTGGCATCTGTCAGCAAACTGTGAGGCGTGTGACACATTCTTGGGAAAACATGAGAAAAAAGGCAGACATTATCAAAAACTGTAGAGAAACTAGGACTCTCTGATTAGACTGTGGAGTTTCTTGCTGCACAAATTATCATATTAATCAGAAAACCTAATTCTCTTTAGTGCAGTAAGATTCTGGGTTCATGCCTGAGTTTATATTGATACAGTGCGTGAAAAACATGAAGACAAGTACTATATGTTGACATAGGTTTATCTGCAAATGAATGCACTGATTTACTTAATTAATAAGGACATTAACATAAGTGCTAATCTTTATATATACATGTTATGAGGACAGTGATGGGATATTAGGCAGCTCAAGTCTCTCCTGGGGCAGCACAGTGGCTCGGGTGTGATTACTGTCGCCTCACAGAAAGTACGTCCTTAGTTTGAACTCAAATAGAGCTGTACTGTGTGGAGTTATACCCTCATATTTGCTGCTGTTACCTAAAACCCCAACATAAAATGGTTGCAAGGGGCGCTGCTGCAGTTTCCCTTAGAAGTCACATTTTTGCTGCCAATTTCACATTAATGTCAATGGTTTTAGATTCTTTTTTTTATGTAGCTACTTGCTTTTCCAGGAAGCTGTTTGTTTAAGTTTCATTTTAATACAGCTCATCATTCACTGGGTACACTTGTCTGCACAAAGTGTGTTATTGTAAACAGAGAATTTCTGACAACATCACAGAGTGAGACAACCAAAAGAAATGTACTGCTAAGAGAAAACATCACTGGTATGTCAACATCATAGCGTTTCATGGAGAACTAGCTGTGCTGTCTCACATCTGAATGCATCATCTGCAGAAAGCCTGTCAAATACTGCAACGGTGTCAAATAAGAGACATCAAGAGAATAAATATAGAGACTATTTATCCAGCAAAGATACTGAATACATCAGTCACCATGTTTAATTATAACGGGATGTCATCGTTAAAGAAAAGACAGTTTTGGAGCCTCTGCCCGAGAAGCAAACTGCAAGAATGGATACAATTTTGCAGTGTTGTTCAAGTTCTATGAACAGTGTCCACATTTGAATAAGGGTATCATCCATGTTGACTTTCCATCACAGCATCCCAACAAATCGCACGATTCATTGCACTACAGTGACAAAGTGGTTTTTTCGTAGAGGTAAGCATCACGCTTCAACTTAACCAAACAGCTAACAGCAACCACGTCCAAAATCCAACGGGCATTAAAACTTCAGCATTGTTTCCAACTTCAGCTCTGTTGCTGAGCAACAGCAATAAGGGCGAGTTGAATTGGTGACACCAATTTTGGAAAGCCTACGTAGACCAGACCGTTTCATTTCAGTTCAGCTTTTGCTGTCTACCTAGCCCACAAAGACCACCCCCCTTCGTGGGCTGGGTAGACTAGCCCCCGAATTGAGAGTTATTGAGAGGGTTCTCTTTCACAGAGTCCTCCATGTTGCACCGTCATGTTTCTACAGTTGCCCAGAAAGGACAAACCAAACACTGGCTCTAGTGAGGTCTTTCTCATGTGCAGAGACGGTGAGGCAAATATTCAGTTGACTTAGCAGATTACTGAAGTATTATCTCAACTCTGTAGACGGTTGGCTGAATTTGGACATAAAAAACAAAGCCCGACAGAACTCATGTTGTACTTTTAATAATTAAAGCACAGGCTGATGCCAGTTTCATTTTTTTGCTTAAAATCATTCCACTGCAGCTTGTTCCTGCCACACTGGTGTCATTTTAGATGTAGAAGCCCCAAGACCCTGTAATCACATCCGTCAGTCAGAAGTAAAATACAAACACAAGAGTTGGCTCAGTTTATCTCTCTAAAAACTCTATGAGCCAACGAAAAGCAGTGATTTATTATTTATTTACAGTTTCTGAGCCATGCAGTTTCTAATTAGTAAATTTAAGTCTAAAGTAAGATGCTGTATTTTTAGCATTTATTTAAAAAAATAACTGACCCGGTGATTTTTTTTTTTTTTTACAATGAATGTATCTGTGTGTTATGAAGAGTAAAGACTTCATTCACCACAATCATTTAAAGTAAAGCATTTTGTTCTGTTAGACGTGGAAATTTCCAGTGTGAATTTTATTCTTCTTTTAACAAACCAGCACACTTCCAGCTATGTCACAAAATTACACAGTTATTACACATTGTGTTCAGCATTATTTGGCATGTTGGATACATCTTCAAAACAAGGTCAGTGTGTGAAACTTTACTTCTCTCAACTGGATATTCAAGATACAACCTAAAACAAAAAGGAAAGAAAAGTTTAGGGATATTCATATGTTCATGTTCATTGGTTTATAGAGAATAAGCTTTTTTTTTCTTAACCCATCAAAAAAATAAAACAAGCCATGTTTGATGTTACTTTACATAGTTTACAGATATAAACAACCACACTGGATGTAGTTATTGAGACTTGCCCCTGGATGCTGTTTCAATCTGAATTGAATTGAATTGATTGAAATCGGCAGCATCAGTGACGCTGCACCACGACACAGTGACGGCTTTTCTTTTTGTAGCATCTTTATGCATCTTCTGTCATCTGGCATATATATATATCATATATGAGGGTCCCAGTCAAATGTTTTTCTTAAGCATTGCAGGGTCGTTTCTATACCTAAGCTGGCAGTCACACTTCAGAGCCTTGTTAAGTGGACTTTTCGTCATCCGCTTCCTAACCTCCTGCAGCTAAACTCTCAGCAAGAGAATGGTCACAAAGACGCATGGTGTCATTTTACCCGGAAGTGGGTAAGAGTCACTGGAAGTCTGGTAACCCCCACCAGCATCCATTCTAGTCCAACTAAGAATAAGCTTGAGGAACAAGTGTGGACATAACTCATATCGCTCCCTGTGCATTTCTGCCTTTTCAGTCCCAATCAAATAATCAGTATTAGAGTCAATTAAACATCATGTAAACAAGTTTGGTTCGGTGCTGGGGGCATAAAAAGTAAAAGGCTTCCTCAAGTGGTTATTAAACATCTTAATACCTCCCCCATAGAGGAAACATTTTCATATTTTCATATATTCATACATTTTACTTTTCTTTAACATATCAAAATTTTCAACAGAGAAAATGTATTTATTTAGAGGCAGATCCAAATAAAAACCTGATGAAGTTAAGTTTGGTTTTATAGAAACATGGTTTTATATCAGGGGACTATTGGGCCTTGGCAGAAGTGTGCACCCTAGTTGTACTTTAAAAACACTGCACCTCAAACTGTGGCTTTTGTCTTTTACAGTAAACCAATGATTTTAACTTACTGATATGTTTTTTGGAAATGGTCATATCTGTTATTTTTGGGAGACGGCAAGGCGAGCGGACTGCATCACCATCACTTTAAATATAACACACAACAATAGCTTTGAACAACAATGAATATAGGAAAGTTTCCTTATACAGTTCCGGTTATTTCTTGCAAACTTATCCTCAAATTAGAAAAGTTTATCCATCTTTTAAAAAAAAAAAAACCTTTACTATGCTTCTCTTTACCTACATCCCTGCAGCTGCGCAATTTCACAAGAAAATGAGCCATAAGAGAGAAAATCATTAACATCAGCAAAAGATACTTCAGGCAGAGATAATGGCTCAATGTGCTGCTCAATGATCAGAGCAGCCAGCAGGCTTTACGGCCTCCTGTGTCCGTCCCCATCTCCCCATCTCGCTCTTACAACATTCACAGCCCGTGATGGGGAAGGAGCCCTAAAAACACATCTCTTAAGGATAAAAAAGTAAGAGGGTATGACAGCAGTAAATTGGCTATCTCCTCCCCTGAGCCTTACTCCAGACTTCCCCTGCATGCGGAGCAATTTGAATTGTGCTGTAATTGCTTATGTTGCTTTTCTCCGCTCATCACGTCTACAATAGAATAGAATTTGATCTCAGTTCTTTTGCCCGTGGTTGGAATTCTCAGCCATTTACCCCTGTAGGATAAATACTAAGTGGCGGGTTGACAAAAGAAGCTGAGCGGAGTGACTGTTGCACTTTGCTTTCAGGTGCACAAAGTTAAAAGAACTAAAGGTTGAGACGGCTATGATCTCTCGTATACATAATGTGACAAAGCATTACATTTTTTATTTAATAGTTTTGTTCTACAAAGCAGCTGTGAGTGTGGTGCAGTTTCTTATTAGCTTGTTGTTAAGGGGATTATCTTAGTCAACCACAGTGTGAAGGAGAGAAAGAGCTGAAGGGGCAGCAGAGAAATGGATGGGACATGAGTCATGAAATAGAAATCAAAAGCCGTGCTCAGGTCCGCTTGCAGAGGAGTAGACTGGTTATGGGTTTCGGGAGCACGTATAGTGGATGTGGCCTTGGGCAATGTGCTTCTTGTTAAAAGAGGGGATGCACTTTGAGTGTGAAGCAGGCTCTAGATGGAGTATTTTGCCCAGACAGCACTTCTCAATTCACCCATGCACTCAACTATCTGCTCACATTGTTCCCTTCCTTTTCGTGGGCTTTCAGGCAAGGACACAGTAGATGCTGCAGGACGACATAGTATCTTTCAACACTTGAGGAGGCAGTGATAGAAGAAACAGAATGAAGTCAGGAGAATTCTTTTTAAGAAAAAGTGAAAGAATAAGAAATGTTAAGAGGGATCATTTCCATTTCTCCCTCACCAATGTCCTTTATGGTTCATTCGGAGTGCTGTGATGGATTTGAAAGTGGTAGCGAGTGTAGAATATGAGCGGAGGATGAGATGGAGGCCTCAGTAGCCCCAGCAACTCCAGTCCAGGATGAGTGTGGGCAAGAGCAGTAATGGTAGCAGAGGTGCTCCTCGACTAGATGCCCCTTGCTGGCTCCCTCTGGCCCTTGATTCAGTGTTAGAGTCCTTCTCAGAATAAGGCGGGAAAGCATTGAACTCATCATTCTCTTCCTCAACCTGCTCCTCTCCCTCGCTCTCCTCCATCTGGAAAAGCAGGGAAAGAGCGATTCTTACAATCAAGGTGTAAACATCACAAAAATACATTTGAAAATATTCTTAAACTGTAGAATAAAAACCACCAAGATCAAAAACCCTGCAACAACCAATATAAAACTGTAATGTTACAGTTTGTCGGTGCTCAGTCCTCTAATAGTCATTCATCACATAGATGCTGATACAGTCCTGGGCCAAAAAATTATAAGATTAACAAAAAAAAAAAAGTCAGTGTGAAAAGGTCCCATAAGTTTCTCCTCCACCGAAATGTAAACTTAAGTCCTACGGAGTAGTTCAGACTCTAACGGATGTTAATACCACAGAGATCAGAGCACAAGTGGAGAGTGCTAAGTTTGTGTGTTCACACTGTTACCACCTGACATTGAAATGCGCCATGGCTCTCCTGTCACCACATGTGATTGGATCTCAGTTCCCTGCTATGCGTGTAAATAAACGAGTACGCCATTTCTGATTTTCAGATGTGCCTGTTGTCAGTTCTTTGTGTGCATATGTGTCGTTGTGTGTTTTCACAAGTGTGCAAGTGAGAGAGAGAATGAGAAGTCAGGAGGGGCTGAGTAAATTGGTGAGCAGCACTCAGGTCTACCATGAAAAAAGATTTTACCCACTCAGCCAACTTGTGATCAGTATTGATATTGTGGCCACAAACAAATCAACACACAAACACTGAGAGGCATAAAAATATGTTTGATTCGTTGTGAAACTGTAGCAGGTCAGAAATATCAGGTGAGTAGGCGGTCCTTCATTTGTGGCTCAGGACGAATTTGCGTTCACACAACAAAACGGAAGTGGCCACATGTGTCCGAGACCACCTCTGATTGTGGTTTGAGGGGTCGGATCTCAGGAAGCATTTGGGTACGTAAAAAAAATGATTTGACACCAAAATCCACTTACAGACTTAAAACCAATCTGTCACCCAGTGTGTGTGAGGTTAGCTGAAATACTAACTCAGTATGAAAACATATCCAGTGTGTATCAGGACACAAGGAGACACCGGACTGGCCTTTTCCATCTGATCCGCTCCCTCCACAGCAGAGGGCCGCTCAGTGTGAAGTTAAATTAGCAGCTGCAGATATCAAAGCTGTAGGGGGGGAGACTATAGTGTATAAACAGGTCAATGCTCTCCCTGACCTTCACTGTAAACTGCAAACAGCTGGCAGAATGGATACTGATACTGTTCGTCCAGCTGTTCTGTTACATGTGCTGTTATCTGGCACACGTGAAACAGTGAGTATGCAATTAAATACATGTTTATACCTTCTGTAGTTTTTTATTGATGCTCATGCTGTATGCAATAAGCACATCAGTCAAAAATATAATAAAATGTAATTTAATTTTGTGACAGAAACTCAACATCACCTGAAAGTCTAAACTCTTGATGGACGCTACAACAGGGTTACGCAACATGACCGGTGTCAAGAGGCTAAATGTGCAAAACCACATTTTCAAATGTAAAAATTATATCAAGAGAAGCAAAGACATTTTATCACTTATGACAAATACTAAGGTTTTGAAAAACACATTTAAGGCTCCTTTCGATTAACTCAAGTCAATTCCTTGAGAAAGGCATCCAGTGTGACGTTTTGAAAACATCATCGACCTCAGTCAGCTCACAGCCAATCGTGGTCGACTGACTGTAAACAAACATGATACTCAACGAGCTGACTATAGCTGCAGTGCTGCCCAGATGTTGACTAAACTCATTTTCAACTTAGAATTCAGTGAGTCCCTCGACTTTCTTCTACTGTTTTTCAGCTTGATGGCTCAAGAGATAGAGCAGGTCGTCCCCTGAACAGAACAGAAGTGGTTGGATCCCTAACTCCTCCAGTTCACATGTTGACGTGCCCCTGGGCAAGACGCTGAACCCTAAAGCTGCCCCTGCTGGCTGTTCTGTCAAAATGTGACAGATGATGTGCACTGTATAAATGTGTGTTTGAGTGGTTGAATGTTACTAAAGTCCTTTGAGTGGTCGTTAAGACTAGAAAGTGCTATATAAATGACTGCTTTGTAGACGGATGTGGTCTGATGTCGGCCTGTTGTCAATTCCACTGTTGTATTCAATAACTTTTTTGAATAAGGTGCAGAAAAAAAAGTGGTCTTTCCATTTGAATGGAGAAAATAACTGTTAATTTAGTTTTCACTGTAATATCATTATGGTATTACTCCAACAAAATTAACATCCTTGTTGGTCAAACATTATTTCACTGGAGGAAATGACTTGTGTAAAGCTGTCTCTTCAAGGGAATTGCAATTTCTGCCACACAAAAAAAAATTCACACTGCACACGAACCGAGCCACTGAAGTCTGAGGCACCCTTCACACCTATTATTTTGGTTCAGGTGAAACTGAAAAGTCCGAAGCCAAAAAGGCTACTTATAGGCTATATATTGGAAAAAGTAAAGGTTTATGTTGATAACCAAAATAATAATTTACTGAAGTTTCCTTGTATCTCTGGTGTGTTTGCTTACTGTATATCTAGGGGTCGCATCCTATTTCAGTAAACCCTTAAACCCCATATTCCTCCCACTATAACTGCTCTGGGAGGCTCCTCTCAAACACAGAAAGGAAGGATGGTGTGAGGGTGAACATGCTTGAAAGAGGCTCAGTCTTTACCTCAGACCTTGGCTTAGGCCTGAGTTTTCATTTTCTAAAGTCTATTCAAATCAGCCTTGACATATCACTGGCATCAAAACTAAAGGAGAGCACTTGTTCGTCCCCCTTCTGTTGTAGCACTGCAGTCCATTTCCACTACACGTTTCACAAATGTAAAGTTCTGAGACTTTCCTGAAATTAGATTAAAAACTGTCACATGAGAGTTTCTTTAACCACAGGAGACGTTTATAGCTGACGTATTCTAAAAAGTGCTACATAATAGAAAACTCAAACGCCTCATCCTTAAATAAACTGTATATTTGTGTGTCCATTATGCGGCCCAGCAGCAGCACGGATTCATTGCTGTAAGGGATTGTGGGATGGGATGGGAGAAAGAGGAAATGTGGAATGAGAGGGATTAAAATGGTGGAAAAAAAATGGAGAATATGGAGCAGATGGGTGTGCATACATGAATATTAACAGTAAGGGTTGAGTCTAATGCTGGAAACACCTACGGCTAATCCTGAGCCACAGCGAGAGGTGGGGGGGTGATGGGAGGTTATACAGGGAGCGGCTCGGCCTGAGTCACTGCTATAGTCCCTGTGATTCTTAGGTGTAACCACTTTTACATGACGTCACTTCTTTAATTCAGGGCGTGGCAAGTGACCAACACCAGCAGGCAGGGAGACAGTCAGGAAGTGTAGGGAGCACTTACACTGGTGAATCCTGGGAGAGTATTAACACTGACATGGACCCTCTCCTGGTAGACACGCGGGGAGGGCTGAGAAGCTGGCACAGGAGTGTTCAGCACAGCGGGAGGTGCCGAGATCCCCATCGAGCTGATGGCGTTGCCTGAAACAGAAACAGCAGGGGTCATCTTCAATAGGATCACATAGTTATTCATCTTTTGAGAATCACCAAAATATTATCGGTGACTTTTATAAACATAGTGCCAACCAATAGCTCTGTAAATACTTCGCGGCACGATTGGGCAAAATATATTTAGTTTAAGTTGTTGTTCTAGGGATGAGTTTGGCACAAGTCCAACACTTTTCCGACCAAACACAAACACTACTACTGACATTTCCATCAGCCCTGATAGCACTTTCTGTTTAGTTCTACGTAGAACATGTTAGCATTTCACATATATTTATACCATATATATACTGTATATACTATATATATATATACACACACCATATATGCTGCTATTTCGTCCATCTACAGCTCCCCAAAAGTGAGGCCACCATGTCTTGATAGCCCCCTGGTGGCTGTCATAAACCACGCCTTCTCCATGTTAGTGGGTTGGACATAGACCAAGATGAAACGTCAAATAAATTTTTCTCAAATATGGTTCTTGTCGTTTGAGGTACTTCTTATGCTTATTCTTATTCTAGTGCTAGATTTTCAGGTAACCGTGGTTTTAAAAGTGTCATCCGCTGATTGGTTCACACACAATGTGGACTTGTATTCCAATTAAAACAACCAATCAGGCCTCTTCCTGCTGTAGTGTTACACATTAAATTCTGTCACATAACAGCTGTTAATACAAGTACTTTTAACAATACTTCTCAGGGAGTATCTTTTAGTTCTCTTTTCACTCCTGTGGGTTTGGCAACAATTCAACAAGAGATCACTTTATGTTTATCAGATTTGGTGACGGGATTTGTTGACTCCACAGAACTTGGAAATCACATTAACATTTGGCAGACAGCCACGCACCGGGGAGAATGTCCCTTGCCATTAATTTATTTATAAGAAAACATTATGGTTCAATGGTTTGCCCTCTCAATAATCAATTATTACCCACCTCATTTGAATTCTGCACTAATGCACATTATAAAATGCTCAGATAGAACAGTGTCTCAAGATCAATTTAGTCTGAACTCAGATATGACAGTTAAAAGGTAACATTTCCTCTTCCATTATCTCGACACAAGAAAACCTGTGAGTGAGAGTTACTGAGATTTTTGACATCAAACTGAGCAGTTAAACTGAACTTTGTTCATTTCTCGACTAAAGACACTTAAATATTTAGATTTTTGATCAATATATTAATGTATAAACAATATTACCATAAAAAATACTCCTCAAATGCACTCATCCAATTATAAAGTGAGAAATGTTGATCGGGGCTGCGTTCAGCCCGGACAAAACATTGCAAAACATTCATCTAATCGTATACATTGTCACAATGGCAGCTGAGGATTCCATCTTTGGCCACAGTCTGGAAGAAATCTTAGAGGTAGATGACATGAGTTTGAATACACTACTAAAATATGCAGTTTTACTGATGTCAACACCAAGCAACAGCTGCCATATTTGTAATAAACTTTACAATCCATCAAGTGCACTGCTTTTTTAATGCCGCAGGCTTTAGATACACATCGCTGCTGATTTGGTAACGCCCTCTGACACAATGAAAGACAACGTACCTCAAAGCCCGTTGCACACTTTGTGCAAACAGAGTTGTTTAACTCAGAAAATGTAGCAAAATGGCACATAACATTTTGAGGTTGAATGTGACCCAACTTCTTCACTTCATTACATTTTTAATATTTGGAATCATTTCACGGCAGACCAAAGAGAAATGGGGTGAAAAAGCTTCACATCTGTGACCATTTAAGGATTTTTAGCTTGTATCAACATGGACATTTACAGCATCTACACTAGAAGCTGCTCATATTTCCTGCAGGAAACTCTCAGAGCTTTAAGTCCCTTTGAGCTGGAACGGTTCGCTCTCATGATTGTGACTCAGCATGGACAGTAGTAATCTCGTGTTTCTCTCACCCAGACACATGTTGTTGCTGAACATATGTAGGATGCGCTGACAGCCCTGCCATTCGTTCCCACTGCCCTCACACGTGCACCACTGGGACACTTCCGTGCTGCTGTTGCTCACGTAGTTGGGAGTCATGATGGTTCCTGGTTAAAGACAGAAGTCATATTACAGGTGCAACTCTAAAAACCTTTTTAAGCAACATTATCCCTCAGGAAGAGGATTTTCATTTTCAGCTCACACCCTGGAAGGTATAAGAAGCAGTCTGCCAACAATATTAGTGTCACTGGGGATCTACTATCACCACTTTTCCAGCTTTCTATATTGATAATAGCACAAAATTACTTTTTATGCAGTATCGGAAAAACTAAAGGAAATAATATCACCTGGATCATAATTCCATTACATCATGGTCTGCTGGAAATGCGATTTTTAAATCAAGTTTTTTAAAGTGATGCTGACTGGATTCCCAGAGCAGCAGCTTTTGGCAGTCGACCATTCATGAACCCAACAAAATTAAAATGATATGATATGAAATGCCAAATATCACTGTTAGACTCCAACGGTTATTTTCCAGTAATGAGTCCTTTGTGTAGCTCTTAGTCAGTTTTTTTTCTTGAACCATTCCCTCTTTCAGTCTCTTTTTTCTCTTTCTTTTTGCTTCCTCCATCTCACCTATGAGTCCAGCGTAGGCCTTCAAGCACATCGCTCTGCTCTCTCGCATACAGCCAGAGGCAGACAGAGGGGAGGGTTGGCAGTTGTGTTGGAAATCAGCAAACCGTGATCTGCAACACACACACACACACAAACACAGAGGAGAAAACTGTTTTTTCATATGTCAGCACAGAGCAACAGTGCATTTTAGAGTGTTTTGACAATTTCATTTTGGGATTTGGGGTCGAAACAAAGAAACACACTCCAAGAGTGGAAAATGTAAGACAGAGAAAAAGATGGCTGATGTGCACTTGCATTAAAACCATGTGTTATTTAATGAAAACATCAGCAAGACTTTTTCCAGCCCGGCAACGTCCCCCGACTAATCAAAAACGTTCCTCTCCATGGGGTCAAACACTAAAAAGTCAAGTCTAATAGTATTATTACATTACACTATTATTTGTGTGACAAGAACATGAGGCTCTGTTTTAATGATCTTAGAACATGGGCTAAAAGCTAAAACATGCAAGTGCATTTGGGGGCGTGTTCAAAACCATATTTGATTCATTGATTTCATTTTGATTATTGGTGGAAAAAACATTGCTTCATCAGGCACCTTGTTCAAAGAGAATTTACTTAGTCTTAATGAATTATGAATTTGATTCACTTTACACACAAACAAACCATCTGTGTATGAATGAATTAACTAGAAAATGTAAGTAAAGTATGACTGCATACTATGTGTACTATGTCGTACTGTGTACTTTGTTTTGATTACTTATTATGCGTACTTATATGTTTTGTCTACTTGGCATTCTATCCTGTCTATGTCCAGTGCATGGGGCAGAATTGATCATAAAGTTGACTTCGACACTGACTTTAAAAATCGCTATATCCTTAAACTGGGATGCTAAAATTTTTATTTGAACTGGAGCACAGATATATTATTGTGTGTAATGACATTTTATGAGCACTTTAAAAAAGCAGAGGGGATGAAATCGGTAAATCAAAAAAACATGGAATCTCCAGTGTAAATTAGACCTATGACGCCTGAAGCTCACGATTCAGCTTAAAAAGAATTGCAAGCCATGAAAAACACATTTGAATGACTCTGACATTTCCATCAACAATCTCAACCTCAATCATCAACAAAAATATGGCACTGCACATGTTGAGCTGAAACTGAAGAAGCCGCAGTGACCGCAAGAAGGTGAGAGTGTTTCTGTGCTGTTCCCACACTCGGCAGAACACGTGTTAACCATACGTGTGGAACAGAAGTTCGTGTCAACAGCAGTTAGTGTTCCTCGCTCTCTTGTTTCAAATCTGTTACTAGTAGAGAAGAAAGAGGACATTCTTAGCCTTTTTTTTTTCTCTTTGTCATTAATAATCTCTGTTACATTTACACATAGAAGAAACTGTAATTATCATATGTTTTATTTAATAGTTTCAGCTTCTTGAATATGAGGATTTGCTTCTTTCCTTTGAACTTCTTCAGTAAAGTGAATATCTTTGGATTCTGAAAATAATCAGCAGGTTCATCAACACTGAAAAACAATCATAAGCTGTGGCCGTAAATTATATCCAAACAAAATGGGAACATGCTCATTACACTGCTGTGTTGTTCCTTTATTACTTTTCTTTAGGCTGCTTTAAATAGGGACACGCTGAGTCATTCTTTGTGGTGTTTGTAGTACACATATTTAAATCTACATTTCTAATGTCCTGTAGTGTTCTAAAGCTCTTTAAGTACTTAATGTACTTACCTACAAAGCTCGTCTCTGGAGCAATAGTTCTGCAGGCTGAGGCAGTTAGGCTTTCCCACTCTTTCCTCCCCTTTCACATTCTCCTCATAGGAACACGACGGGACGATGGTTTTCCTCCGGCGCTCCCCACACAGAGTGTCAGAGCAGGGACAGAAGAGCAGAGCGAGGCTGTACTCCTCCGGTACGCGCTCCAAGAAGCGCCGCAGGGCTTTGTGGCATTTCTGGCGGTTGCAGTTGTTCTCAGAGACCGCAGCTCTCTTGGTGCAGGCCACGACATATTCTGACCGCAGGGAGCCACACTTTTCATACAGGCCACAATCCTGAGCTGCCTTCAGACACTGGTTCTGGCCGTCCACAGAAAGAGTGGAAGCTGGGGGATTTCAGAAAGGGGACTGAGTTGCAAAAACATTCTGGAAATATATTTCATTTGTTTGTCACACAAAGTAAGAGGGGTACTCTACCTGCCATGATGGAGGCCATGCGCGACATCTCAATGTTTCTCACCAGATTCAACTCCAGTTCTTCATATGGAGACACCTCATACTCATCGTATGCTGAGAAAAACAATCACAGAGTTTCTTAACATGCATTATGCAGATGAGAATTAAAGGTTCAGTGTGTAGAATTCAGTGACATCTAGTGGTGAAGTTGCATTTTGCAGCTGAATACCCCTCACCTCACCCTCCCTTCCAAACATGAAAGAGAACCTGTGGTAACCTTCAGTCATAAAAACTCAAAAGGTGTTTAGTTTGTCCACTTTGGACGACTGTAAAAAAACATGGCGGCCTCCGTAGAGTATTTATATATGAAAACATCACTAGGATTATTTAGTATTACAGTTTTACATCCCTTTCACAAAATCTTACACACTGGACCTTTAAAAAGAAAAAAAGCAAACAGACAAACACAAATGCAAGTGTTTAAACCCACCTCCAAATCTCACAGTCCAGTAGACCTTCAGGCAGTGCTCCTCCCTGCGAGAGCCACGCTGACACTTGCATACTTGAAGAGGGCGGTACTTCTGCACAGAGTTCTGGGCCTCCAGGCACTCCAGACGGGCATTCGGGCCAAGCGGCGACACCGCCTCCTCGGCCGCACAGTACTCCAGCAGTCGGTAGAGAACCATGCAGGAGTGCTCTTGAATGCAGCCCTGCTCCGCCACCAGACAATCTAAGGATGCAGATACTGGAGCGCTACCTGAAGGAGAGGTTGATATTGTCAGTGGACAGAGCTGCAAACAGGTGTTTTGCTGTATTACGCACGTTTATGATCCAATGTTAGTCCTTAATCTAAACAGGGTGTAATTAGAAAGTGCTCTGCAGATGCTCCACTGCACTACAGGCTTCCATAATATCCAACCAGGAAGATTAAATTGAAAACACACAAGTGTAATAAGAGCTGCAACGTGGGCGAAACCTTAATGCTCCTCATAGAAACACAGGAGTCTCTCAGATCATTTAACAACACTTTAGGGTTGTGTTACAGATTGTAATTATATCATAATGATCCCATCATCTTCTCTGGGACTCCTAGTTGACTTAGCTCCTAATGCTGTTATGTACACAGGTGTACAGTTTCTATGAATGCAATATATCTTTTTCAGCACACTGTCCTCAAGTTTGGACTGATGACAATTAGGATACAGCTCTTGGGAATGTAGCAGCTACAATTCATGTCACTGAGCGAAACCACATGTACCTAACTACTTGGTATAAGCTTTTTAAACATGGGAAAATTCAGTCAGACCTGGAGCCGATTGAAACCCTTTACTACTGAGTCACTTGAACTGTGAGTGAATCCATTCTCTTTGCAGACAAAAGCCAGATGTTAGTGGGTGCTGGTGGGTCTTTTGACCAGCAGATGATCTACATGTTAGGCTCATCCCTGCACAACACAATGCTTTCTTATCAGTGAGATCCACACATGCTCTTCTAAAGTCAGACACATTTTATGGATCTGTGGCACGTTCCTGTCCGAGTGCTTCCCAGAAACGCCAACAATACATTCATAAAGTAAGGCAGGAAATAAAGGAAGACTAAACGGGGATGTTGTGAAAATAGATCTAAGAAGTTAGATCTTAAATCTTAAATTCTCCTCAAATAATCTGGGGATTAACTTTCTCTCGCAAATGCGCTGAGTTACCTTGTTGCCACTGAAATAAATATAGTAGGAAATATGCAGTCACTAATCTAAAAACCATGACATTGGTTGCAAAGTAAAATATACAGAACTAGAATGTCACTCATTAAACTTCATACCTCCACCAAGGCCCGAAAGTCCCCTTGAGACAGATCTAAATTCACTCAATCCGGATTTAGTTTGGATCTGCACCAAATTGCACACACTCATAAATATCATCCCCTAAACAGTTCTGATTGTTTTTAATCAATATTCATGAATTATTCCCTGAGAAACCAAGGAAAATGTTTAAAAAATCCTGCAATTTTAAAGAACAAATGAAAATCCCGGATCCGCGCCCTGGTCTTAATTTCATGGTAATCCATTCTGTAGTTTTTGCGTAATCCTGCAAACTAACAGACAAACAAACAAATTGAGACGAGAATATTATGATGGATAGGAAATGTAAAAATGTGGGTGTGGTGAGCATTTCATATGGGACACATTAAGCATCTACAGAGACGTACTCATGGATGTCTTGCACAAAAGCTCTGCTGTTATTATTGTAAAAGGACACATGAACAGCTGCAGGCAAAACCCTCTCCTGCAGCAGGGTCCAAGCTTTCCACCAGCGTCAGACACTATCTCCACACGTAAGGATAAAGACAAAACCAATTTATTCAGCACAGTTTGTCTTTTTCCCCCCCCACACACACAAAAACAACTGACATTTTCAGACAGTGACTCGACCGAAAAGTCCATTATGAGGATGTTTTCCCCCTCAAGTTGTCTCGAACAAATAGTCTAAGGCAGACATTTTTTTTATATGATGCATCAGCAAGTCGTACCTAGAAAATAGAAAATATGCTGCTTGAAGATACTTTAAAATAACATCAGCCGTATATATGTATTTGAAACACGGGCTTCATCCCATTGCCTTATATAAGGGTCATTGAGTATGGACGAGTTTGCATATGAGCAGCTACATTTCCTCCTGAACTAATATATCTTTCTGTAGGAAATCTGTGGTGTCATTAAGCATTAAGAGTGGTTTGATTAAGCGTTCTGTCTAGAATGACTGGAAGTGAAAAAAAAACAAAATGGTGGAAGGTGAAAGGAAATGAATTCTCTCAAATATGACATGTGATCGTCCCCTGCAATTAAATATTACACAAACGTGTTTTCCAGAGGAGACGATATGAACACACCTTTTCTGACAAATCCTGTCTCACAAAAAAGTGTTTGAACTTGCCAATTATCAAATATATGTCCCTACTTTATCATCACATGGACTGCATCACACAAATGCACACACACATGCGCACACACACAGACACAGAGTATTGTGTTTGATTGGTCGCACACTTCGATTAAGCTCCTGCTGACTGGCGGCACAAAGCGCAGCTACAATCCAATTCTGCTGCTGCATGTTTTGCAATCTCAGGCTCCGCATGAGGTCCATGTCTCACTTCGGCACGAGACATATCATAAATAGATGCTACGCTTCATCACCGCTGCAGCAAACCTGCCGAGGCTGCTGCAGTGACTCCATATAGGCAGAGGTGGGCGGGGGGGGAAACACAGAGCAATGAGTCATATTCACAGTCACAGCTCCCCGAGGTATGTAAAGGTGATGATTAACCATCTATCTGTTTATCTGTGTATCATCCTACATGGACAATTACATACAAGTAATATATCCCACCATGCTTAGCTGCAGTTTAAACAGATGATATGGAATCTCTTGTTTGGGCAGTTAATGGTGTATACGTTATTCCTTCTCCCCCTGGCCCACCTTTGATAAAGAGAGACTATCAGCAACACACACACACACACACANCACACACACACACACACACACACACACACAGAAAAAGAGAGAGAGAGATAACAAAAATCTATATAAAGTACAGAGCGGCTCTGTTAAATCTTGTCCAGCAGACAGGTCATATTCATTTTTCATAACTTGAACATTATTTAATATACTGCTGATAACGAAGCACTGTGTTCACATTATGCTGTTTGGGATGCACCAAATTAAAGTCTGGGTTCACAGAGTGGTTGGTCTGAGGAGTGTGTGTTTAAAGCGAAAAAAAAAAAGAAGAAGAGAAGAGCGGATGGGAGACGAATTACAGTGATATATGAGCAATAATACACTCTCTATTGATTTCTCACTGGGGTGATTAATAGAATTTTGCGAGGCAAAGCTGATGAAGGTTAAAGCCACAAACGACAAACCGCACACTGAGATTCACAGGGAGCAAAAGTGGTTTGGCTAATTTCTCTTCCGTTCTCTCTCGTGCGTGGGATGTGTAGCAGCGCATCCACATTGTTTGGGAGTAATTTGAGTCGAGAAGAGGAGAGACCGTGACTCTGTTCTGTTGGGGGATTGTGACAAAAGGGGACTTCTTGGAAGGAAGTCACAGGACTGAGGGACTGTGTCTCCTGAAGGAACAGTGTCTCTGAAGGGACTGTGTCTGCATGCATGCTGATGTTCCACAAAAAAGCCTGATTTGCTCTTAATCAGAACATGATTGAGTTTTTTTTACAGAATTAAAATTTTTCAAGTACAGCTCAAAACAAATTACAGATAATTAGCTAGAATAGTAGAGTGCATACCTTTCCCCTTAAATTCAATCGAGCTGTGTGCCTGATTTTTTCTATGAATTCTTCGGTGAAAAATCAGTGAAAATGTAAAAAAAAAGCCCTATCCGGTAATGTTAAGAAAATGACATAAAATATTCCTGGAATCCCCCCAAAATTCAATAGGTTCTCCTCTGACCCAAACCACATCCTTCCACCAAGTTTCGTGGTAATCTGTCCAGTCTGTAATCTTGCGTACAACAAAAAGAGAAAACTACCTTGTTGATGGAGGTGATCAACTGTCAAAGCTATTTCAAAGCAAATGTATGAATAAATGATATATTTTCAGTCATTTTAGCTAAATAAACTGAGGTATTCAGGTCACTGGCTGATGACAAATCAACTTTAGGAAATTGGCATGCGTGTCTTATACTATTATCTTACATTTTATAGCCCAAACAATTCATCAATCAATCAAGAAAATAGGCTGTAGCTTAATTAGAAAATAATAATAATGTTGTAGCTCTAATTCAAAATTTTTTCCATGACTGGAATGACAAACTTGTAAGTTTCATGAGTCAAATGTCCAGACTCACAATGATGTCCACTTGTGTTTAATAGTAACGTGTTATTTCAGGGCTGTGCAGCAGAAGGTTTGAATCCCAGCTTGGCCAGTGGTCTTTCCGTGTGGACTTTGCATGTTCTTCATATGTTCGCATGGGTTCCTTTCCTCCCACAAGACATGCAGATTGGTTAACTGGAGACTAAATTGTGTGTAGGTGTGAATATGAGAGTGAATGGACATTTGTCCAGAGTCCCCCGCCCCCAACCCTCAATGGATGGATGGATATTTCAGTGCTGTGACTATATGAAGCACGTGCGGCAGAAGTGACCTGTAATAATTTAAAATCTTAATCTCACCCTGGTCTGTGTAAATGCAATGTATTATTTAAATGTGCTTCCTTATTAACTGAATACACAAACATAATCAAAATACTGTGCAGTTAATTCAAGGTTACTGTGCAAGTAAACACACTAATTGGCCTTAAGAGACCAAACTAGGAAAACTTTGGAGTAAAAAAATAGGGCTGCATGACAATAGAGCACATGTTTGTAAATCAAACGTGATAATGATTTTCCTGCCAAAACACTTATTTTAATTTTGATTTAAGCTACTTCATTCAATTTATATACTTATTAAAAAAGTTGGACAGATGGCTAATGAAAGGGAGGTCTTTGTAAACAATAGTAACCAGTAGATTGGGTCCAAGCCTAAAAATACACAATACACAAAAAAATCTCCAAGTCGCTGACCCCATCGCATTCCAAAAATTAAAATGGCTTTATTGTGCACAGTGGAGCTGGATTAACAAAACTCTGAACCATCTTGTGCCACGAGTGATTATCACGGATCTTTGACTGAGAATTTGGAAATGTATTTTTTTGATGAACACTCCTCGTTTCCACTGAAACGAGCTTCATGGCCTGTTCTGTGT